ACTGAAGCATGCATTCAATTTCTATTCTCTAGCCAATTAATATATTTTATTCTAAATTAAATCCTATTCAGATAAACTGCATCCTAAGAACATTACACATGCTCAAAAAAAATCACAAGAAAATTGGTTACAGGACATTTCCAGGATCAGAGGGGTCCAAATTGAAAGAAAGAAATTTATGAGAGCTTTGCTTATCCTTGAGAAAATGTATTAAACTTCATATTTGAATTCTGAGATGTTGCATACTCATGTTTGCTGAAGGTTTCTGTTCCTGCTTTGAAAATCTAGTGAAATAGCTGATACTGTCAAGAACACTGTCAAAAAATGTATATGTACACCAAGGACACATGCTTCTCCAATTTCTTATCTGCCAAATACCAAATTATCCCTTGAGCTCCTATTCTCATTAAAGCAATGAGACAACAGCCACTGTCTTTGGAAACAGTGAGAAACCCCACAATTTCTGTACTGCTAAATTTCACTTCGGCAGCTAGAAAACTATTACTTATCACAAGAGGTTGTGGGGATTCTTCCCCCTCAACACCAAAAAAAATTTGAGTTCTCTCATTCAGAAAAAATTAAAAAAAAAATAAAAGAATATAAAAAGCAGCACAAACAAATCTAGTTGTGAAAAATACTGAAAAAAAAACCCCAAAACACGTAAACCAAAAAGCATATAAAATACCTACATATATTTCCCAGGAAAATAAGTACTTATATAATTAAAGATCCACCAGTTTTCCCCAAATGAGTAGTGAGGCCCTCTACCATTTTTTAACAGTTTCTCAGAAGTCTAGTCAAGGGTCAAAAGCTTTCCACAGATTGAATTGTGTCAAATTCAACAGTATACATATGACTTTATTCTGTATATCAAACACTCCAATTAAGGAAATCTTTTTCTTCTTACTCAAATGATATAATTTCAGGAAGCAAAATCAGTTCATAAACATGTTTAATTTCCTGCATCTTGTGATTAATTATGAATGTGTCTGATTCTTCTTTGAGAAACTGACCTCAGAAATCTTATACTTCCATCATCTACAGCATTTTACATCACTTCAAAGTAAATCAATTTCCCTGAACAGATTTTAAGTAAATTTTTACCTTTGACTTTATTTAATTTGTGCCACTCAACATCAAATGCAGACAGAAGTGCATGGGTTCAATTAGCGTGTTCTTAAATCACGTCCTTAGACAATTTACTGTGGACACATTTTTAAATCACACGTCAAGTTCCCATCTATACTGTTTAAGAGCAAAAGTCACATTTTCAAAGGTTGTGGCACCAAGAGCATTATATTCCAGTCATGCTTCTCAAAGACAAAGTATGAGGAAAAAAGGATATTCTGGCCATACAACTGTAGGCACCATGCTTAGCCACTACTCCACTACTTCAAAACACAAAAACAAAACCTTATACAAACCTCTTCCTCCAAAGCCTGCCCTTAAGATGAAACTGTAATATAGTATTCACTGTAGTGTGAATATTTCTTTGTGCCTAAACCACTTATGAAATGTCAGGAATAAAATTTAGCTACTAAAACAGTAATATGGCTATTTCTATTTCAGTACTTTATCTTTACAATATTCACATAAAGTACTGAAACAATTCAATATTAGTACAATCCCATGCACATGACCCTTTTGCATCTTTTACAGACGTGAATTACAGGCTAGGAAACACTCACTTAACATACTGATATGCAAGTGACAGTGAAATGCTTTGAAAATTCAACAGTTTAACTATTTTAAATCTCCCATTCTTGTTTCTCCTGATGCTCCCAACAACAACAAGGTTCTAATTTCTCCTATTTGTTTATTCTTTAAATGTAATTTTCCATCTAATGAATGGAATGGGAAGAGAGGAGATGACAAACATGGCTGGGTTTTTTCAACATTCATTTCAGGTACAGAACCCTTCTTTCCCTCACAACTACCAATTAATTAAATATTTTTAAGAAAACTAGTGTGGAGGAGAGTCATCTCTATCAAGGATTTCAGTATTCATCACTGACTGGATTGAACAATTTCATTAATTGTCTCCAATGACCCAGACCAGTAATAACAAGTTACATCCCCTACTTTCCAGCAGATGCTATGAAACACATGATTTTGTAAATTATGTTGGAAAAAAAATATTTTCTGACTTAAGTCAAGTAGTTCTATGGCTACAATGTTGCCTAAGGCCTTCATGTCTGCATCTGTTTTATAAATAGAAATACTTTATTTCACTAGAGAATTGTACAAATTGTCCAATACCAATGTACATGTCCAATCTTGTACTACACTATGAAGCTATAACCTTTAGACACGTATGTTGTCTTGTATTTTCCATACTGTTGGCCTTTATTTTCTTCACCTGTGGACTGCCATAAAGTTTAAAAATTAAAGAGGTAATTATGGGAGGGCCCACTATTTAAATATTTGTTTCAATACTCACAAAGCACCTGGACAAACTAATACGATAAATTAGAAAGCTGTTTTGTAAGGTTACTAGGGAAGAAATAAAAGCTCGATCAGACATGTCAAAGGTACAGTGACTGAACCCAGAAGTCAAGAGTTCCAAAAAAGTAGCCCTTTTAGATTCCACAAACAGCACCTGATACACCACTAAGATGCATTGTGAAGAAAATGCCTGTCCAGGTAAGAACAATGATGGGAGCTTTTCCCATGAGCAGCAAACACAAATAATCTTCTACTTGACACTGATGTGTGCTCCACACTGCGCTAACTCGCCTCCTTCACTTCCCAAATAAACCCAGTTCCACAATATCCTTCAGGTGACCATGCTGAACTGAAGTTCAATTACAACTCTCTTCCCAAGTCCATCTGCATTGGACTGCTTTTGAAACTTTTTTGGTCAACATTGGATGTATAAGATTAATTTCAATTTAAGTATAAGATTAATTTTAATTTAAACTTTCACAGTGTAAAAGGGTATTAAAATTTCTTATAGCTGCAGATATCTCAAACAATTTTGATTTCAGAGAACTGTGAAGTTACCAATTCTTTAGGGGAAAAAACAAATTCTGCACTTTAATTCAGAAATATAGTAGGTGTCAGGAATAGGGCTGGACTCAATTAGTAGTAAGCCATGATTAAGTCCTAATATTTTCAAACAATACACCTCAACATATTTATGTTGAAGTGTATTATTGGAAAATATTTTGCTACATTCTATATCTAAAAACAATTACAGTATTACCCTATAGCATGAATTTTCATTGAAGCAGTTAACCTTTAGGAAATATTCTCAGAAAGCAAAATTTAAATTAACAGCCAAATCGTCCATTCTGAAAATCATCCTCCATAAATTATATCCTGTCAATTCAAATACTGACTTTGGTAAATGCTATATTAAAAAAATGCACCTTGTTTCCTAAACTGACCAAAATTAACAAAGAGGTTCCATGCATGGCTTCTCATTTCTCAGATGGTTAGGCATATTGATAAACCCAAATGTGCACAATATGTGCTGCTATACCTTGACAAGAACATAAATATACTCTCAGAAAGAATCTAACCCAATGACATTGGCCAGCTGGTCCCTTATAAAATGCAATGGGAAACTCTAAAAAATACCCTAAAGAAATAAATGAAGTCATCAAACAGTGTTGAGTAAGTTCTCCCACTACACTGAAGTAAAATGTATTTTATATTATGTACATTAGGTTTTGGTCCCAGTTGTAGGTTTGTATCTGTGTTCACATACAGCCCAGTAAAATCAACACAGGGGAACTTCTGACTGCAGTGTTGGGAGCAGAGGACTCTGGCTTTGAGGGATTTCTAGCCTTGATAATTAAATTGGAGCTAGAAGAATGAGTTCAGGTTTTTTTTCATTTTTAGTGCTGAAGATGTCAGGAAACATGCAAAATGCCATTTTTTAGAAGACCATCACTAAATAAACGTAAATGTGGCAGCAAGGGAACACGCTTTCCAGCTATTGATAAAAGTCAATAACTAACATAAATAACAGTGAAGAATGGCTTTTTCAGGAAAAATAATCAAAATATTCTTCTTGCAGAACTAAACAATACAGTGGCAATTAAATCACCTCAACTTTTTGCTGTAGAAGACTTGACTAAGAAGCACAACCTCTTTTCCTCCATTTCCTCCTCCATCCAAATAATTAGTCTGTAGCCCAAAACTGATTCACCATCAAGTATCTCTTAACCAAAATAAACAACCAAAGACACAAATCCTTTTTCAGTTCAACCCAAACTAGTTAAAGTTTCATGGGGATTCTCTGAAGTTTTAAATGAGATTTAAATCACTTTAGCGTCTAGTTTATATGTGCATTCTAAAAAGAAAACTAATCCAAATTACATAGGAGATACTTTTTCCTGCAATGAACTCCACAGAAAACCCTTGCATTTCAGTATTTGACAAAGCTCTAAAGCAATTATGTTTAAATAAAGTGAAAAACTGATAAGTTTTTTTCCTTTTAAATAACATATTATCAACATCTGTCTCCATTTGATATGTAACTGTTCACAGGTTTGAAGGATTTCCACACTAATAAAGAAAAATATGAATGGAAAATAAAATCATTATTAATCTATGAAATGTATCAAAAATCTCATTGCATAGGCATTTCAACCTTGTCTTTGCTTTATAGTTCTGACCGCTCCTTTATTTGTAACACTGGACTTAATTTCCAGGTTTTCTTCTGCTCTTCCAAACACAATTTTACTTTCAGATAAAGTAGGTCTATAGTTTTAACACCTAATACGAAATTAATAAATTCACTGTTGGTAGTTCAAAATCATGTGGTAGAGTAGTGAAATAGACTGGAGAGTGGACTGGCAGTCATTTTTTGTTACTTGCTGTCTCTGCCTCTCTCTTGCAGTGGGAATTAGTCTGCAATTTTACAGAGAAAATTGGGATTGACTCAGTCCTGATGAAACAAACCAATCAAAAATCCTCCACTAATGCTGGGACACAGTGCTTCCTAAAAATATTCTTTAAAATAAAAACATAGAAAATCATAGAAAACTTACAAGTACTCTGCCAGTTAATGTCTGGGCAGATATCATGACTCCTGCCCAATCCTTCACAGACGTCATCCATCCCACTTCTGCTGCCACATTCTCCTCTTTTTCATCTGTTGGTTTGCAGGCTCCATCTGCCTGTGTATCTCCACCACCATTGATCTTCTGGGCCTCCTGCAAGGTAAGTATTTGGGTTAGTTAATGTTTAGCAATTTGACAGTGAAAGTCAGTATATAGGTAGGGCCAAGAATAGTAATGAAAACCAGAAAATCTGTCTTCCTGGATCCCTGCTAGGTGAAACTAAGAACCTACTTGGCCACATTTTTAGAAATAAGAGAAACAGAAATGTTCTGTAAGGTACCAACTAGATAATAAAACTCTCCTCGACATGACATATTCAAAACATATACTTAGCACTAAATATACAATAAGTTCCTTTGTTACAGGCAACATAATTGACAACAGCTCTGTATGCAATTACAGAGTTACATATAAATGAATTTGTCAGACATACACCGAAAGACCTTTTGATGTTTCAGTTCAAAATAATGCATACTAGGTGTGAACATAATTTATTTTAATTTCCCATCACTAGAATAATTATCTGAGTAACCCTTCACTGAGAAGCATGATGTAACAAGACAGCAATTATCAAGTGTGAGGGGAACAAAATACATCATAAAGAATCTTCAGGGAGCTGCCACGCTATCAGTGAACCTGTGTTTCGATGAAAGTGTTTAAAATATGACAGGAATTATTCTGTCAGTAAGTGGTTCTCACAGAAAGAAGAGCTAGAAATTAGAGGAGCCTCAGCTGCACCAAGCTCACTGATGAGTAACACGCACTGGAATTCATATCAGTCTCTCATGGATGCTGCAGGAAGGATGTTGTGCTCTGTAACTGCCTGCGATGTGCTACAGTCATGGGTGTGCACAAACATCAAGGGAAATGACAGGAAAAGCCAGCGAGGATCATACAGTGTTTAAATCATCCTGCATGCAAAGTATCACTGTGCCATGAGCATGCCTTTGGTGACAGCATAATACTAATGACTTCCTGAATACTTGACAAGCTATAAAATAGGAGAGGCAGCAATATTCAGTGCTGAAGTAAGTCCTGAGCACTAGATCTGCATTAGTGTTCCAAGCACTCTGCACAGACCGACACCTTGAAAGATCTTGCTTATAGAGTACTTGTCTGTAGGCCACTAAGCAGGAAATGAATTGCCATTAATCCCCTTTGGAATGTCTTTTATGCAAGCAAAGATGCTTGATGCTGGTTATGTGATAATTACTACAGTAGAAACACTATCCTGTGATGGTCAAGACCCACAGCTGTGAGATGGCCTCGACGACACAGCTGGACATAAGGGTACAGGCACTTCCTGAGAGTAAAACTGAACTGATAAAGCAATTTCATTGAATCTCCCAGCAAAGAACAGTAGAACAAAGCTTAAAATGTAATATGAAGACCAAGATTTTTTTCAGAGAAGCTCAACTTTGCAACTTAAATAGCTAATCAGATTCTTTTTTCTCTGTTAGTTTCCCTCCCAGAAAGCAGGCTCCATATTCTTACTAGCAATTATGGCAAAGTGTGATGTTACTATATTGATAATAACAAATTATTCGGAGTTACAACAGTAATTCAGTACACTTCCCAAGCAAATAACGCAACAGAAGTTTAAAATTACTTTGTATTTGCATAACTGGACCTCATTCACTGACAAATTTGGACACAGTGAATCAGATGTTTTGCACTCGACGTTGAAAGATGCATCCTGTACCGCACACGCACGGAGCACAACCTACAGGAATGAGCTCACTGCAGAGGACAGCAATGTACAACACGGAGTGAGGCATCCCAGCACAGCAATGCTTGCCTGGAGCCAACAGGTGACCCAAAGCCATAGAGAAGAGACCCAAAGAAATGCCTTCACCAACATCAAGATTGTGATTATAAACCAGGAAAGAGAAAACTAGGCTCTATACTCCAAATATTGAAGCTTAGGCAACCTAGGCCTATCTCCTAGGCCTCATCAGTCCTAGGTGCTGTCCCCAGGGTCTCCCCTGCCTCAGACGCCCTCCGTGGCCCAGGACACCATTTCAGCCCCATCCAGGGCTCCCACAGCGCTGTCCTTTCCAGCCTTGGTGAGCCCACAGCCAGTTCTCTCTGCCTGAGCCACAGGCTGCTGTCCCATCCGACCCCAGGAAGGCTCCAGGCCAGGGTCCTGTCCCACTAGCCCAGCCAGGGCGCCGGGCAGGCCCCTGGCGCACGGGAGCCCCACAGCCCTGACAGCTACAGACTGCTCAGAACACTACACATGACATTTCTTTCCCTATTTCCACCAGTTTCTCTGCCTTTTGTAACTGCTAGAGCTTGTCTTTCAGAACTCTAAGCTCCACACCAGATTTTGCTCCATGGTCCTCCTCTGCATTGCACCATGAGCTTACATACTCTGTACAAGTTTATACTGAATTAATTAATGTGGTTTTCAGGTAAAGGAGATATAATTCTCTCTTCCTCTCAGATAAACTGAGGTGATGATTAGGAACCTAACTCGTTCACTAGAGAAGTCACTGGCAGATCAGGATGAAGCCACAGTCTTTTTTCATCTTTTCACCCAGCAACTCTTGTTTAAAAGTGCACAGATGCACACCTTGCTAAACTCACAACTACAGACCTTGCCATAGAAAGTTACAGAACTACAGATCACTAAACAAAAAGCTGAATAAAAGACTCAATTTTATTGAACTTGTATTAAGGTTAGAAAATTCTTTTATTGTGTATATGTTCCTTGCCCCCAATCTTCTTGTCAATAGATGTGATTGTTCACAAGATATAAAATAATTTAAAATGTCCTAGCACTAAATGAAATAAAATAGTAGGCAATTTACTTAATCGAAGGAGAAAGGTAGCTTTTATATTTTGAAAAGGTTTTCATAACCTACAGTTCTTTTGCTGTATTGACTTTTGGTTGCCAATAGAATAGAGCAGTAAAACATGACAAACCTATTCAGTATTTGATTCTTCTAAAGGTATTAAAGTCTTTATTACTTTTGAATGGCTATATTTCTATATTTATACTACTTCTTTCACCTCTATTAAAATCTCCCACCCATATTATTTCTTAATTAAAATTTAAGTAAAATAATCATCCCCTGCCAAGTATGATTTGGAACAGACTCTCATTATCAGCCTAGCCCCTGCCATTATTGTAGCTATAATTAACATGCAGATTAGTTGCTGTTATGTAGTATTTGTATTCAGTTGGGATATTTTATATTTTTCATCTACATGGCTAGCTTTTTATCTTACTGAATTGGCAGTTGAGTATTAGGAAAAGTTTATCCCTGAGTCATTATGCAATTGTGCAGTGATCGCTAAAGGAGGTTTAAAGGCTGGGGTTTTTCCACACTGAACACAAAATTCAGTCCTGTTATTAAGTGTATAGTCTTGTTTCATTGCTATTTCTTCATCTCAAAGCATTGAGTAACCAACACCAACAACTGAAAAAGGTGCTTAAAATAATAATCTGACAGTGACGATAGTTGATTAATTATTTACAAGTTCAATATTACAAGCAAGGGATCTTCACCCACTCCGCTTATCAGTTTTCATTATTTTAATTACTTGATGGCAGGAACATGCAGGTGGATTAAGTGAGAAGCAGTATATTGTGAAATACATACTTCCTGAACTTAATGACTAAATGGAAAATGGTATGATGAGGAGGTGTGTACAGGAATCAGTATTCTGTGTTCTACCAATGGTTTGACACAGACCTGGACCAAAAACTTCAATGGTTTGTCTTCTATTTTCAGCAATAAATATTGAATTAGCTTACATAAATTCTGGGATTCTTGAAGACAGTTGCCTTAAGGAAGAAGAACTCAAAAAGGCAAAATTCACACAAAAACGTTAACAGTTTTAGAAACCTAGTCCTGCCTGTTCCATTTCACCTCTAAAATACCTATACAAATGTACAACCACTGCACAGACACCTCACCCAACCCAGGACAACACAAAATAAAGTCAGAAAATTATTATGAAGCCTTAAAACATCATCTAAGAATAATCTGTCTTTTTAAAAGCCCTAAAAAAACACAGGACAGCATGAACACAACATGGAAAGTAGTCTCTGATGTATGGTACTGAAAAGACTTGCTATCCTGTTAAAATAAGTTTTAAAACATATGAAACAGGTAGTCGATGTGAGGGAAAATACCTGGGTCGAAGTGTGATGGAAAAAAAAAATGATTTGGTAATCTCATTTATCTAACATGTAACTAACTGAATATCACACAAAAATCATTAGGTATCACCTGTAATGACATACAGAGCATTGAGTCATGCCCACATCACTCAAGAGAAAGTAGTATGCTCAGTCTAAACAGATGTTTAAAAACAGTAACACCAAGGAGGCAAACACAGTGGCCTTTGACTTCCACCCTAGATAACATGAGATGAGAAAGGGCCTGTCAGAATGGCAGCTGCTCCTAGTTTAAAGTACTCAGTAATAATACAATAAGAAAATATCATTTGGACCAGTTAGGAAAAGGCTGCTTAGATAACAATGCCAGCAAATAGGAATTTTATCTCTATTAACTGCCCTTCAAATAACAGCATTCCATTCTTAGAGCCTGTCATTTTATTAAATGTTTTATATCACATCAACAACACTATGATAATGGTCATTCTTACAAATTAGGAATCTGTATTTACATTTTTTTCATTCACCTGTTTCCCCAAAGCCACTAAGAGGTGCTATGTGAAGAGGAATAATTTTGCCTGAGACTATTTCTCCTTTCTCTTGGGCAAATGTCTGAAACACTGTGTTTAAAATTATTAGACTTCTATCAATAATTTAATTTCATGTCCTTCAATACATTCACTCACTACTTTGACATCTCCAAATAGGAGTCTTACATTTATATAAAACTGTAACATTATGCTGCATTCTCTGAAGCTGGGCAACGTACAGTGAATGTTAAGACTTCAGGTACCTACTGAATATACTGTCACGGCAGACACCTTCTGTCAGATAAAGTTACCATCCATTGTCTCCATCTTAACAGTTAGTAAGTGCCAGTTTATCCAGTGCTAAAAACAAGCAAAAACCAAACAAAACAAAAAAAAAAAAACCCAAACAAACAAACAAAAAAGCCCTGCAGCTG